GTGAGGGGTGGCCCGCAGCCCGCGGATGGGCTCCTCCACTTTCACGGTGACGGTGATGTTCTGGGAGCTCACGGCGTTCTCCGCAACCAGCACGTGGGTGCTGATGCCCTCCCTGAGGCCGCTCAGGCTGACCACGGCAAACCAGGTGTCGTTGGTCTCCCTGGCACAGTCCGACACCAGCGGCGCGACAGCCGCCGGGCAGGACCCCTCGAAGGGGACGGTGTGGTTGTCTCCCAGCCAGCCCGCTGTCGCGTTCACCCCCGAGGAGAGTTTGACGACGAGGGTGGTGCGGTTGGACGGGAGGTAGACCCGACCACCTTGAGGAGCAGGGTGGATGACACGCAGGCCTGACACCCGGGAAGTCACCCAGAAACTGCACGACAGATTGGCACTGAAGACCCCGTTGTCCACGCTGGCTCTGACCGTGTAGCGACCTGGATGCTCCAGCCCTGCGTTGTGGGGGCTGATCACCGGGACCAGCTGCTCCTCGGCGTAGCAAACCCGGAGAGAGCAAACGGTGTTGTTGATCCAGGTGGCACCGATGGAGCCGTCGGACAGGCCAAGTGCCCACTCTGAAGAGTTCATGCTTAAGACGTTGGTTCTGTAAGGGGATGTGGCACTTGGCTGGCACTGGAGGAGTAAGCCCGCGCCTGCGTTGTGCTGGATGCTGAAGATGTCCTCGGCCTTGACAAAAATATTTTCTTTTCTGAAGGTGACCTGCAGAGAGAGGAGACATTTTTGGATTAATGCCTTGACTTAGGAGCACTCAGCACCCAACTCTTGCCTGGGCAGGACAGATGGATTTACTGCCAGGTGGAATCCAACAGAAAAGCTGCAGATCCAAGCACAGCATGGGGAGACATTGCACCACTCCGCTCCCCTTGGCTGCTCTGAATCAAACGTGTGAACACAGGAGTCAGCTTTATGCTCTGTCTCCACTGTGTAAGCCCAGGAGGTCTGCACAGCCTTTGGACCAACTGTGCTACTGCGACAAGTTACTGAAGGGACATCATGGATATCTCCATCCACAAATTGGGAACAATTATTTCTTTACCCAAAGCACTCAAGAGAAAACTGTCCCCACCTACCCACTGGTTACAGCAGCTAATAAACACTGACCAGATACTGGGAAGAAGGGCCGGCTGGTAGTGTAAAGAGAAATTCCTCGATGAGTTCATAGCTGAGCTGGCTTTCATTGTGCTGGAGGGAAACGAGGGTAGGGCTGCTGGCAAGGGAACTGTTGGCACACTCGGTCGCGTTGCAGCAGTTGTTTAGTGACACACACAAATTAGTCAAATGACACCACTGGAAACCAGGAGGACATTCAAGTAGAGTCCAGTTCCCATCATCCTGAGCAGTGTGGAACGGTTCTGTAGCATTTTTTCCCTCCTGGTAGTCTGGAAGAAGTGAGAGAGAAAGCAAAGATCACCACTCCACCGCTTCTCCTTTGCTACAAATTCACCATTTTTTGCCACTTTGACTGACGATGGCTTCACTCAGTAAAAGCTGCAACTACAACGCACCTGGTGCTACGTAAGACAAGCGTCCAGTTTTACTGGAAAATTTCACAAAGGCACGAAGATCATTAAAACCAAAGTGAGTCTCTTTTCCAGTGAGAACGTACCAATTTGCAATCTAAGAGAGATCGATGCTCAAGCGAAAGCAGCGCTGGCTTTGACATGGAAAACACATCAAGCAACTTTTCTTAAGTTCATCTTTCCGTGTCAAAGTATCAGCTTTTCAGTATCAAAAAACATCCCTTTGTAACCAGACAACCCTATGGCTATCGCAAACGTTCTGCTGCAAAATTAATTGTTGTCAAAACTGTGACTATTGAGCTGTTGTACGAGGAATAAAAGGCTTATTAGATTATCTCATCCATCAGGAAGAAATGGGCTCAGGAAAATGTTCTCCCTTGTTAACCTGTGGGGCTTGATGGACTAGAACTAGAACATTTGACATGTTACATGTTCCCAAAGTATAAAATATAGCTCAGAAGATTGATTCACTTCTACACATGCTCCTTACACTCACATTTTCTTCACGCATTGAGACAGGTTTCTCTCTCTATGAATTTCTCCAGGACAACCACTTCTCCACGGCAACCTTGGGCTGTCCAACCATACCTGCAGATTTTGCACTTCAGCCTCCTCAAAAAGTAGAACCAGATCTCTGAGCCTTTAAGGCTTCAAAGCGTCTGCTTCGAAGACAGAAGGGCCACAAAAAGGCCACACTCGCCCAGTATGACTTGGCCCCGATGGCATCAGCTCTAACAGTAGCACAAGCGTTGCGAGGAGATGCCTCACCTTCTCCATCGATTGGTCTATGCACCTGGAACCTCACTTGAACGGGCTGATGCAGTTCCTGTGTCACAAACTCCAGGGCAGTCAAATACCCGTCATGCCCGAATGCCAGCTCGGGGAACACCATCACCTGCAAAGCGAGACAAGGCTCTGACCTGCCTGCATCACCTGGGGCTCCTTCTGCAGCAGCAGGACCAACCCACCCTTCTTACCTCCACTGCTTGCCACGGAGCTGACAGCACATCTTCTGTCACGTTTTCCACAGCCTCCTGTGTGCCAAACGCAGGGTCTCCCACAAAGAAGTTTTCGGCGTTTAAGAGAACCCCTGTTCACAAAGGAGATATGTGAACAAAGCCCGTGAGACTCAGCAAAGCCTGAAGCCATCCCCCCACCCTGCTCATGCATGCTGACGCGGCACAGCGAAGCTGCACCAGGGCTTGGACCTCTCGGGAATCTGTAACTCCAGCTTTACTGGAGAAGCAGCTGCCATAATCCTGTAGTTTCCTTCTTCTTCTTACAGGTGTTTTGATTTCTTTCTCATCCTGCACAAGTAATGTTTGCATTTGCAACTCTCGGCAACTTTGACTCCTAGGAACTCCGCAAATACCTCTCCTTTCTGACACCCCAAGATTTGCTTTGAATCTTCGTGCACTCTCCATCCTCCCTGTCCTCCTGGACTTCATGGGGAACATGGCCAAGACCAGCTGGTTTCCACCAGCAACAAACACCTCTGGCTCGTTCCCAGCCAGGTCAGGCTCCGGGGACGGAGCACAACCAGCAGATGCTGGCCCTCCTCCCAGGGCCCGTGGGCTCTTGTCCTAGTCATGGCTTTTCCTTCTTATCTGAATCTTCTCCCACATTTCATGTCCCTTCTGCTTCTCTTTCATACTCCCTACACCACTTTGGGAGATCTGGGAGGCTGCACAAACACATACCTGCACAGCACACCCCATATAAAAGCTCATCTAATGATCTCCGAGGCCTTACAGTCTTTTAAGTCATGAGACCCCAACATCTCATGAACTACAAGATGCCACAGAAGGACAGCAAGGGTCACCAGGGCAGCACCACGGCCTCAGATCCTGGCAGCAGCACAGACTGCTCAAACGAGAGAGAAAAACTATTTCCAAAGCTGTGCCCCAGAGCTTCACCCCTCTCTCTACTTCTATTGACGGCAAAGATTGGAGTGGGCAAAATTCTACCCCGTGGGCTGAGGCCAGGTTTCTGAAAGTTTATCCATCGAGCCTCTGTTGGGAATACTATGGTTGCTGCCAGTCCCACTTGATGCAGGTGCCGCTCTGGATGACCCCCTCCATGCAGCCCTGTATTTCCTGGGCATGTGGTGGTGAGCAGGAGCCTGCCCACGGTGCCAGCGGGCAGCAGGAGAGGAGCAGAGCCCACCTTTTGGCTTGTACTCGCAGACGTAGCTGTGCTTGGCCATGCACAGGTCTGTGTTACACTGGCCCGTTGGGCCCATCCGGACACAGTGGTCAGCGTTGGACGGATGGGGTTCTCCTGGCAGCCAGTTCTGACAGCTCTCCAGATTAAATCCTTCGCCTCTTTGCTGCGCTCCAGTGCTTGCAAAATCATTGAATCCAATCCAGACATCCAGGCTCCTTCAAAAAAAAAAAAAAAAGAGAAGGGGGGGATTTCAGGAAATCATGCGTATTAGGAAGGTCTGGGACAGATGCCATTCACGGTTCTCCATGAAAATAATAATCTTAACGACAGCAGCTTCGTCTGGGTGTCACAGGCTGCATTTAACGGAGCCTTTTAGTTACTGAAGCATTTCAGTATTCATTCCACCACCAGAACCTGGCTCTTCAATAACAGCTCCTTCACAGCACACCATCCTGCTCTTGACCAACCCTCCAAACCTCTGTCCTAAGAGCTACAGCCAGCCACCTGCCCGTGATAAACCAGGGGGACAGCTGAGCCAAAAGGACCCAGACAATCACCACCACCACCACGGGGCAGCGGAGCTGGGAGAGGGCAGCAGCTCAAGGGACCACTGCGTGCAGCTGAGTCAGACCCTGCCCCACAACTGAAGTCACTCCAACTCCCAAAACACCAATCCTCTCACCCAGGTTACAAAAGAACCCAGTTAAAGGCTCCGTGGGCACCACAGAGCTTGTGACGTGCTGGTAACCGCTGATTCATATCAGCCACAACTGCTACAGCATGAAGATATCAGAGAGGGTAATGAAACACGGGCAGGAGATGACCCTGGCTGGAGAGGAGGACCATGAGGTTTTATTGCTTTCAGAAATTCCCAGCTCCTCCTCCAATTGCACATCTTCTGCTTCCCCAAGCTGGGGTAGCTTCCTTCATATCGGTATCATAGAATCATAGAACGGTTTGGGCTGGAAGGGACCTTCAAGATCATCCAGTTCCAACCCCCCTGCCATGGGCAGGGACACCTTCCACTGCACCAGGTTGCCCAAGCCCCCATCCACCCTGGCCTTGAACACTTCCAGGGATGGGGCAGCCACAGCTTCTCTGGGTAACCTGTTCCATGTTTTTTAATGCTGCCATGCAGCCTGGCCTCCCCTCCCAGCGGGCACAGTGGGCTGATGGCCACTCGCAGGGGCTGGAAAGGCTGAGACCAGCTCACCCATGGTGGAGTAAACCCTCTGCAATACAGGAAAGTGGGACTATCTGCAAACTAAGGAGCACCAGCAGGTTGACCTGAACCTCAGACCCCTCTCGGCACAGCGCGCCGTCCTGCACTGCAGTTTCAACGACCCACACAGACACTTCCAAGCCCGTTCTGAGCCACGACTCAAGAGGAATGGTACAGTCATACAAAACGGTCCGAAAAAGCTGCACCTCTTAGAAAACTTGCTTTATTTCTGCAGACCTGTGGAATTTGCCACTAGTCAATTCTCCATTACAAGTGGAACTGGCATCAGTGCAGGATGAAACCTTGGAGGGTGCCAGGTACAAGAGCTCCTGGTCTTTTTGCTCATCTCTGCTGGGAGACGAGCAGCTCCTCAACCACCACCAAAAGGCAGCAGCCACGGGAGAACAAGCCACCGGCAGCAGAGGCCAAAGCACTGCAGGCAGATGGAGCCCACACACACAAGAAGCTGCCAGGATCGTTTTAGGAAGATGAAATGTCCCTTCCACATCTGGAAACTGGCTGGATCCCAGCAGAGATTCTGGTGGAAAGCGCTGAGCGGTCTTTCATAGCCACAAACAGCCTGGACGACTGTTTCTAATCGCGCCCAGCAGAAACTGAGGTGTTTGTTCCATATGGGGGGGGAACAGTCTCATCATGTGCCCTCAAAGCCCCCAGCTCCTTCTCCGCGCTCCCTCCCGCAGCTCCCCATCCATTCTGCTGCAGCCTTGCCCCTCCGCTCCCGCGTGCTGCCAGTGGTACCAGTGCTCTGCAAAAGGCAGACGAGGGAGATAACTGGTGTCTCTCCACCTCCAGGCTCCCGCCAGATGAAATGATTAATGAGGTCATGCTGAAAAACGACGACAAAAATAACTGTTCCGTGAATCAGTAGTTTTCATTGCAAATACGATTAAAAAATAAATAACCGCCGTGCTCTGCTCCTGAACCACTGGCAGGGGATTAGGGAGAACGGGCTAGGAAACTGCCTGTGCGCTGCCATCGGTAAAACTCCATAGAGATTTTCCTTTTTCAATTCCAGCTATGATCTAACTGCAAGTCACCAAACAAAAAAAAGAAGAAGAAGAAGGAGAAGGAGAAGGAGGAGAAGAAGAAGAAGGAGAAGGAGAAGAAGAAGGAGAAGAAGAAGGAGAAGGAGAAGAAGAAGGAGAAGGAGAAGGAGAAGAAGGAGAAGGAGAAGGAGAAGGAGAAGGAGAAGGAGAAGGAGAAGAAGGAGGAGGAGTGGCTTCCCACCCCTGCCCCATTGCCTTGCAGAAAGGAACATGAGGGCTCTCGACACGAGAGAAGGAGAAGGAGAAAGAAGGAGAAGGAGAAGGAGAAGGAGAAGGAGAAGGAGAAGGAGAAGGAGAAGGAGAAGGAGAAGGAGAAGGAGAAGGAGAAGGAGAAGGAGAAGGAGAAGAAAGAGGCTGGCTGGCTTCCCACCCCTGCCCCATTGCCTTGCAGAAAGGAACATGAGGGCTCTCGACACCCTCTTCTGAAGCAAGATGTGAGCATCCCTGCATCTCTGAGGAAGCACCGAGCTGCCTTGCTCGGGGCAGCAGGAGCAGAACGAAGCCTGCAGAGGCTTGGAAGGGGAGAGGGGCTCCCTGCACCGCCTCAGAGGGGAAAGTGAGGTCCCCGGAGCGCTGTGGACTGGAGCACTCTGCTTCTGGAGGCGGGGAGGGGACCGGCTGAGCGCACGCTGCTCCTGGGGAGGCCATCAAATGACAGGAGCGAAGGAGAGGAGAGGAGAGGAGAGCACGGTCCTTGCTGCTGCGAGCTCTAATGGGAAACAGATTTCTGCTTCTGTCGTTTTCCCACAAGAAACTCTGGAGGCTGCGTGTTCCAAAAACCTGCGGCTCGCTTGATTTGTCTTTTATCGCCAGGGAAATCGCATCCTGGAACTGCCTCATTCATGTTTATCTGAACGGATTAATAAAATAAATACAAGAAGTAAAGGGGGCCGGGGAGGAGAGTGACGTGGGGCAGCAGCTGGGAAACAGCTTGGGCGGCTCATTCTCTTCTGAGGTCTCGTGATTTCCTCGTGCTGCAGCCCATGCAAAGCCCTGCACGCAACGCCTGGTAACTCAGAGCACCCAGTCACCCATCCCTAACCCGCGGGGAGGGACGGACCCCTCTTCCCCGGAGCAGGGAGCACATGTTTGCAACCTCAGGATAAATGGCAGTGTGAAGGGAACAGGGCAAGGACACGAGTTTGGGGAGAAGGGGCTGTCAGACCTTC